GCCTAGGAAAGCAGTAGAAGATGGCCCAAGTGCTTGGGTTCCTGCACCCATGTGGGAAACCTAGAAGAAGCTCCTGGCTTTGGATCAGCACAGTTCTGGCCATTGTGGCCATTTGTGGAGAGAACCAGCAGGTGGAGGATCTCTCTCTCTCTCTCTGTAACTCTCCCTCTCAAATAAATAAATAAATAAATAAATAAATAAATCTTTTTAAAAAGTCACAAAACCATTACTTTATAGGGGATTTTCCTCCTTCTTTAAAAAATGATGTTTTTAAGTCTTATCAGGGGTGTACTTTCTGTCTCCAGTTGTCCTTGAAACTCACGAAGAGCGGCATCTTTCCTCTGCCCTGTGTTGTGTGAGCAGGGCTGCCTGACTCAGGATGCCAGCCAAGTCAGCGGACTGCTGGGAGGCGCCCCAGAGAGTGGCTTGCTGTCCAACAAACCCCTACAACCCCATCTGCTGTGAGTGCTTACCATGTCTGAGGTAATTACCTATGGCTGCTGTAATAAATTACCACACACTTAGAGATTTTAACCCATGCAAGTTTATTCCCTTACATTTTGGGAGATCAAAAGTCCAAAGCAAATTTCTCTGGGTCAGAATCACCATCTGCAGCCCTCTAATCCCTCCAGAGCCTCTGGGGAGAAGCTGGTTTCATTTTTGGCAATTTCCACCTGCTAGGGCTGCATTCTTTGGCTCCTAGACTCTTCTTCCATCTTCAACGCCAGCAGCAAAGCATCTCGCTTCAGTTGTTCACCTGGCTTCAATCTCTACCGTCAAATCTTCCTCACCTTTCCTCTTTTTTTATGCCTGTATTTTAATTTTATTATTAATTAATTTATATGCAAGGCATATAAGACATACACACACACACACACACACACACAGCTCTCATATGCTGGTTCCCCATCCAAATGCCCTCACTCAATGGCCATGCTGGGCCACCTCACCTTTTATCTTACAAGGATCCTTGCAATTACCCTGGGCCCACTCAGATAATCCAGGATAATCTCTCTATCTCAAAATCTTAACTTCATCACATCTGCAAAGTCCCTTTTGTCAGATAAAATAAATCTCACAGATTGTGTGGATTCAGACATGGATATCTGGCAGCTATGTTTTCAGCCTACCACAGCATCTATGATTTATCTCTTTAGCTTTGGATACAAATTTCCCCTCCCTCTTCTCTGCCTATCAAAGTGCCTAGCATGCAGCAGGCATAGAACAGATGCTGTGCTGTAAGTGACTCATGCACTAATCAGAATCGACTGATTAAATCTTCACTATCAAGACCAACACCCCTCCAAATGTTAATTCAGCAAAATACACTTCTCACTCCTGTCATGATTTAGTGCTTGGCAGCTCTCCTTCAAACAAAATCCAACCCTTTCTATTTTTTAAAGATTTATTTATTTATTTATTTATTTATTTATTTGAAAGTCAGAGTTACACAAAGAGAGGAGAGGCGGCGAGGGTGGGGAGGTGTCTTCCATCTGCTAGTTCACTTTCCAATTGGCTGCAACCGCCCGAGCTGTGCCGATCCGAAGCTAGAAGCTGGGAGCTTCTTCTAGGTCTCCCACATGGGTGCAGGGGCCCAAGGACTTGGGCCATCTTCTACTGCTTTCCCAAGCCATAGCAGAGAGCTGGATCAGAAGTGGAGCAGCCAGGACTCAAACCGGCCCCCATATAGGATGCGGGCTCTGCAGGCGGTGGCTTTACCCACTACACCATAGCGACAGCTCCCAACCCATTCTATCTTATAATACCATCTTCAAAGAAATGGCCTTCAAAGGAAAAAGGCAAAATTTAGATTTAAGAGAAAGATTTAGGAAATAGTATAGTATCTGAGTAGAGGCATCAAAAACCCCTCAGGGGGGGCGGCGCTGTGGCATAGTGGGTAAAGCCTCTGCCTCTGACCCAAGCATCATACATGGGCACCGATTCCAGTCCCAGTTGCTCTACTTTTTTTTTTTTTTTTTTTTTTGACAGGCAGAGTGGACAGTGAGAGAGAGAGAGAAAGGTCTTCCTTTGCCGTTGGTTCACCCTCCAATGGCCGCCGCAGCCGGCGCACCACACTGATCCGAAGGCAAGAGCCAGGTGCTTATCCTGGTCTCCCACGCAGGTGCAGGGCCCAAGGACCTTGGCCATCCTCCACTGCACTCCTGGGCCATAGCGGAGAGCTGGCCTGGAAGAGGGGCAGCCGGGACAGAATCCGGCACCCTGACCGGGACTAGAACCCGGTGTGCTGGCGCCACTAGGTGGAGGTTGCTCTACTTCTGATCCGGCTCCCTGCTAACATACCTGGAAAAGCAGTAGAAGATGGCCCAAGTACATGGACCTCTGCACCTGCGTGGGAGACTAGGAAGAAGGTCCTGGCTCCTGGCTCAGCCTGGCCCAGCCCCAGTCATGGTGGCCATTTGGGGAGTAAACCAGTGGATGGAAAACATTTCTCTCTCTCTCTCTGTAACTCTGCCTCTCAGATAAATATATAAATTTTAAATAGTTGCAGGTCCAGAGATTAAGGACTAGGGCTGCTAAATTGCTGTCAATAAGTGACTATACAAAGTCCAAAGTAGCAGTTGTGTCTCATGTAAAGTCCAAGATGGGCAGAATCCATTTAGAACACCTAGTCTTTAGGGATGGAATCTGGTGGTGACCTACAAGCTCCCAAAGGCCCTCTGCTAATCCACATTCCAGGCTCCTGGAAGGAAGAAAGGCAGCAAGGCCGGGACAAGACCTTCCCCTTTCAGCAGGTTAACAGAAACTGTCCACAGTGAGAACGCTGTCATACGGCTGTGCGTGGCTGCAGGGAGAACTGGGAAATGCAGTTCCTATGTGGGCAGCCCCATCTGTGTCTGCCATCCTTCTAGCTGCTAAAATTCTGTGTGTATTCTTTGGGTCTCCTCACCTTTCCCCCAAAGAAGACAACCCCAAATCTCATCCAGACGGTTCACCCAGCTCCATGTCTCTGGGTGATGTGCCATCATCTCTCTCTCTGATTCAGATGTGGCTCCTAGGGTTCAGAGACTCCAACATCCACTACACCATGGTATAATGGAAGCAGGATGACTGATCCTTGGGCCCTTCTGCTGCTACAGGTCTTGGGGAGGAGTAGAATAAGATCATGTTTCTGAAATCTAAAAGGAGAGACTTTTAGATAACTGCATACAGACACACGCACACACACACATGCACACAAAAGAACCTTCGATTTTCTTCCCATGAGAAAGCAGTACTAGACAGAAGGAAACCTATGTGGTGACAGAAGGCATTCTCTTCTGCAATCTCAGAGGACACTAAGTAAATTTTTGAAGTAAAGTGAAAAGAAAATCCAGAGCAAAACTGAGCGACACATTTCTTTCTTTTTAAGAAGAACTATGTAATTAAGTCATCTTGCCGTGGTTATTGAGAGATTAGTGATGCTTTGATAAATAATGCCTTTGACAAACTAATCAACTAGTAAAAACTTTATTTTTTCCTGGGGAGGAAAATGTATTTTTATCCTTGAGCCTCCTTCCTTTCATTCTCCCACTGGGAGATGTTGCTGCCACGTGTTCTCCACTGTGTGTGTTTACTATAATTTCATGGAATTCAAATCTTACATGGGGCAGAAATCTTTCTGATAGAGTTAAACGATTCCCCAAGCTAAAGACCTATTTTTAATTCATTTATTTTTATTTGAAACACAGAGGGATTTCCCATCTTCTGGTTCACTCCGTAAATGCCAGCAATAGCCAGGAGGGGCCAGCCTTAAAGCAAGAAGCCAGAAACTCAGCCTGGGCCTCTCCTAGGGGTGGCAGGGGCCCCATTTCTTGAGCTGTCGCTTGTTGCCTCCCAGGGTACATAATAGCAGGAAGATGGATTCGGGAGGCAGGGCTTGGACTCAAACCCAAGCACTCTGATGTGGGATGTGGACCTCCTGACTGGTGTGTCAACTGCAGGGCCAGCAACACACCTGTTCCCCTCACACATTCATCTTTACATGTCTCTTAGGGTAGTCACAATAAGGGACGCTAAGGGCAGTTCCACTAAAACACTGACCAATACATGAGCCTAGACAAAGAGAAAAGGGGTGCAACGGAGAGAAGAGAAATGGAAGATGAGAGTTGTGGCCAACTTAGTCAAACTACCAGGATGCAGGAGCAGTGTGTGTAGCGATCGATGTAGGAACAGACTGCCCGGATTGCATGCCTTCCTTTCCACCTGCTCACTGTGTGAGCTTCAGTAGGTTACTTAGCTTCTCTGTGCCTGTATTTTCCAAATGCAAACTCAGGGTGATCATAGTGCTTAATCTCATGGGGTTGTTGAGATGATTACAGGGATTGATTTGCAAGAAGCTTTTTGAACCTTACAACGTAAGCCCTGATAAAACACTGACCATTGACCACTTTGTCGAAACCCAGGCCTGGCACTGGCTGGCACGGAACCCGCTTGAGAAGAGTTGACGCAGGCAGTGGTAGAACATGAACGTGGAACATCGCCTGGCAGAGTCACAACCTGTGCCCTGTACAGCACCTGCCATCTCTCAAAATAGAACACTGACCCAGTGTGTGGAGTCCAACATCTGCTACACTGGCCGTCCTACGAGGTTTTCTATTAGAATATCTTGTTTGCATTTTAGAAGCGAATATTGTGGCAGAGAAGAGGCATGCTTCTGTTCCTGCAATCTGTCTGTGTTTCTTTCTCTTCCAGTAAACTGTTGAACTCCCGCAAGCAGGAAACAGCGCATTCCTCGCTGTTCCCCAGCACCCGGCCCAGTTCAACCTGGGGTGTAGGCCCTTCGCTGTCACCTGTCCTAACATCCCTAAGCACTTGGAGCCAGGCTTGTTTACCACTTTAAGGCACAACCCAGGAAGTCCTCGGCGGACGCGGGGCGCCGGGCGGGATGCAGCCGGGGCGCCGCGCTGTGTCGGACGAGGGTCGGTCAGCTTGCGGGCCCCAGCGGCGGAGAATCGGCGACTTTGCGCGTGTCACTTCTGCCTGAAGGTTTCATTCCAGTGAAAAAAGCGAGGGTGGGCGGGCCGTTGGCCGAGAGGCGGTGGAGCGGGAAGCCCCGCCCCGCGCGCCCGGGCTGTAGTCTGTGCTAGGTTGCTTGTATTTCCCCGATCGCAGCTCGAAGTCACAGCATCCGGCGGCTCGCAGCGGCGGGACATCGCGGAGCTTCGGTAAGGGCCAGTGCGCGGCGCGGCGCCGCCTCCCGAGCTGGGCTCCGTGCGGGCGCTCGGCCGTCCGATCCCAGGCGGGGCGGCTGCCGCGGGACGGCCGGGTCGGGCTTCCTGGGAGGCTCCTCTCCCTGTGGCCTCGAAGTGGATGCCTTGGCCGAGGTCTTCCTTGAAGCGTGTGGGTTGATGCATGCTCTCCTTCTTTTGCTGTTTTTCTTTAGGACTAGTGACTTCCACGCAAGACAGGCGACGCTGCCGGGAGACCATGGCCGGGAAAAGAGTGGCGGTGATTGGGGCGGGAGCGAGCGGGCTGGCTTGCATCAAGTGCTGCCTGGAAGAGGGCTTGGAGCCCGTCTGCTTCGAAAGGACCGACGACATCGGAGGTCTGTGGAGGTTCCAGGTACACCTCCCTGCAGCGAGGAGCGGGAGAATGCCCCCGGTGTCAGGGAGTGTGCTGGGCCGACGCGAGTGCACCTTGCCCGAACTCAGCCTGTAGACAGACGTCTTCTCAAAGCCACCCCTCGGGTTTCCTGCAGGTTCCTCTTTCCCTAGACTGCAGCAAAATGGGCACTCTCTGCTTCTCTCCTGATTGCCATTGAGTTTTGCTGCTATCCAGAAGAGAACAAACTAGGAATAACAAAGTAACAAACACTGGCAAACAGGGGCTGGGTCATTCGGAGTGGCTGCTTCCCGTCTGTGTCAGTAAGAGGCCAGTGTGCTGGAACTGTCTGGCCAATTTCCCTTTTCAATTTTCTCTAACATGGCTTGTCTGTTCATCACACACACACACACACACACACACACACACTCCTGTTCATCTTAAGTACTTCTTTGACAGGCTTAGTCCTCTAGTAGAATATAAAGTCTGGAAGCCTTGTTTTGAACTTTCCCCTCGAGAAGTCCAGTCCAGTGTCCTCTCTCTCTGAAAGGGGGCAGAGGACACCTGTAACTGGATTTTTTTTTTTTTTGGCCTTGCATATACTCAGTCATAAAATTTAATTGTTTTGATAAACATATCCAGCCCTGGAACTCTCTAATAGTATTAAAAGATAAGCTATTTATATGATAGTTAACTTATTTTTTAAAAAAAGATTTTATTTGAAAGGCAAAGTTCCAGAGACAGGGGAAAAGAGACAGTCCGGCGCCACGGCTCACTAGACTAATCCTCCGCCTTGCGGTGCCGGCACACTGGCTTCTAGTCCCGGTTGGGGCACCGGATTCTGTCCCGGTTGCCCCTCTTCCAGGCCAGCTCTCTGCTGTGGCCCGGGAGTGCAGTGGAGGATGGCCCAAGTGCTTGGGCCCTGCACCCCATGGGAGACCAGCATAAGTACCTGGCTCCTGCCATCGGATCAGCGCGGTGCACCGGCCGCAGCGGCCATTGGAGGGTGAACCAACGGCAAAGGAAGACCTTTCTCTCTGTCTCTCTCTCTCTCATTGTCCACTCTGCCTGTCAAAAAAAAGAGACAGACAGACAGATCTTCCATCCGCTGGTTCATTCCCCAAGGGGTGGCAACGGCCAGGGCTGAGTCATGCTGAAACCAGGAGCTTCATCTGGGTCTCCCACATGGGTGCCAAGGGTCCAAACAGTTGGGCCATCTTCTGCTGCTTTTCCCATGCTATTAGCGGAAATCTGGACACAGAAAGATGGATTGGAAGTGCAGCAATCAGGACACAAACTGGCACCCATATGGGATGCTGACATCTCAGGCGATGGCTTTACCTGCTACAATACAACATCAGCCCCTAGTTAAGCTTTTAAATGCCAAAGAATATAATCACCTTTATTGTCCTCCAAACTGGCATGCATTGGGCTTGCTTAAAAGCTGATTTTTCTCAACCACTAAATTGTATCGAGGTGTCTCAGATGCGATTTCATTTTCATTAATACTAACTGTTGATTGGCTACTTAAAAGTGGCTCTATAGTATTCTTTAAAAAAAAAAATAAGGTTATCTATTTATTTAAAAAGCAGTTAGAGAGAGAGAGAGGTCTTCCATCTGCTGGTTTACTACCCGAATGGCAGCAACAGCCAAGGCTGGGCCAGAGTGAAGCCAGGAGCTTCATCTGGGTCACCCACGTGGGTGCAGGGGCCCAAACACCTGGGACAGCTTCCACTGCTTTCCCAGGCACATTAGCAGAACTGGATCAGAAATGGAGCATCTCACATAGGATGCCAGCATCACAGCAGGGCTTAACTGGCTATGCCACAGTGCCGGCCCCTATATAGTAGTATTTAAAAAAAATATATTTATTTGTTTGAAAGAGTTACGCAGAGAGAGATATATCTCCCATCCGCTCGTTCACTCTCCAATTGGCCGCAATGGCCGGAGCTGTGCCAGTCTGAAGCCAGGAGCTTCTTCTAGGTCTCCTATGTGGGTACAGGAGCACAAGGAATTGGGCCATCGTCCAGTGCTTTCCCAGACCATAGCAGAGAGCTGGATCAGAAGTGGAGCAGCTTGGACTCGAATTGGTGTCCTTACGGGATGCTGGCACTACAGACAGTGGCTTTACCAATTATGCCACAGCACCAGCCCTGTAGTATTCTTTAATTTAACAGAAGCACAGTCTTTTTGCATCTGGGACTCTGTTTTGGGACTATTTGACAATAGTCTTTATTCAGATCCCTGTAGTAGACTCCTATGGTTTATCATGATCAGTATTGGCCAAAGGCTGAATCGCATGTTAATTAGTTTCAGTATCAGGAGAGATTCTACCCTTGAAATCCAGCCGCAATGTAGAGTAGAGGTTAAGAGTACAGTCCTTGGCTGGCACCGGGCTCAACAGGCTAATTCTCCGCCTGCGGCGCCGGCACCACAGGTTCTAGTCCCGGTCGGGGCGCCAGGTTCTGTCCCAGTTGCTCCTCTTCCAGTCCAGCTCTCTGCTGTGGCCCGGGAGGGCAGTGGAGGATGGCCCAAGTGCTTGGGCTCTGCACCCACATCGGAGACTAGGAAGTGCACCTGGCTCCTGGCTTCAGATCAGTGCGGTGCGCCGGCCATTGGTGGGTGAACCAACGGAAAAGGAAGACCTTTCTCTCTCTCTCACTTTCACTCTGCCTGTCAAAAAAAAAAAAAAAAAAAAAAGAGTACAGTCCTGGATTTGCAATCCTAGGTCTGTCATCTACAAGCTGTGTAACCTTGGGCAAATCATTATGCCTCTCTAGATTTCTGTAAATAAATGATGATGGCAGTGACTTATTACAGTGTCATCAGCACAGAATTTCAAGCCACTTGTGATTCAATATGCCTACAGTGGTTCCTGCACATTTGGTGTCTCCGCCAAGTAGCCTAGCAGGTTTGGCAGTTACTGTACTGGCATGAAATCAGTTGAAGATAGGAGGAGGTTGGAAGGGTGTACATCATCCTGCCTAATTATCAGGTTTCTGGAGCTTTTCTTTTTCTTTTTTTCCTCTCCAAAATAGTATAAATTTATTCTCTGCTAAAGACTTGACTTGGATTTTCTTTTTTTTTTTTTAAAGATTTATTTTTTTGAAAGGCAGAGTTACAGAGAGAGAGATATGCAGAGAGATCTTCCATCCAATGGTTCCTTCCCCAAATGGCCACAACAGCCAGAACTGGGCCAGGGTGAAGCCAGAAGCCAGGAGCCTCATCTGGGTCTTGCATTTGGGTGCAGGAGCCCAAGTACTTGGGCCATCTTCTGCTGCTTTCCCAGGCACATTAACAGGGAGCTGGATCAGAAGTGGAGCTGCCAGGACTTGAACCAGCACCCATATGGGATGCTGGTACTGCACGCGGAGGCTTAACCCACTGCACCTTATTTTTCTTTCTGATTATCTTCTTGTCAAAAATTTCAACACCTTATAAATTTGTGCCTTGAAAACAAATGAGCTGTGTTTTTAACATAGTGCTGTGACCTCTGTTAAGACAGATGTCACCTGTGTGATTCAATATTTTATTTCCAGAGCCAGATATGATGTCTGCACGTAGCAGGTTCCTGGTATGTTCAGTAAGTGAATCTGTGAGAAACATCCTGTCTGAGGCTGCTCAGAGTGTGTTATGGAGGTGAACACCTTCATTCTCCCATTTTCCACAGCTGTGGCACCCGAAGTTTTAAAGCACCCATTATTCAGACTAAACATTTTTACATGCTGATGGCAGCTTCCTTGGGAATGTTCTCTACTATCTATTTCTTTACCACTCCTTTACTTATTATTTGGAGTCCTGCTCTTCCTCTTCCCAAGCTTTTCATATACAGGAATGGCCCATTCCATCCCATTGCCATGGGGGGCCAGGAAGACACCCGGGCTTCCATGTTCTCTTTCTTGTGACAGGTCCCTGGGATTCAGTGTGTATGATTCTCAGATACTTATCTATCACTTGTATTTTCCTCTTTTCCTATTCTGTCTGCCAAACAGGCATATTTTATTAGATGCCACTGTTTTTCTTTCCTTATCTTTATTCCTCTTTCTCTGCTCTACCTGCCAGACAGGCATTAGCCTGCACTTGTTATTACTGAATGCTACCAGTAACTGTATAGATTACTGTAGCCTTGTATAGATTAGTCAAGACATTAATTTCAATTAATTCTTTATCTGTTCCCTCACTCAAGATCAAGCTTATGGTGGCAAGTGGGTGCTAATGTTATATGTATCAGCTTGAATTTCATTCCCCCAAATTACTTTAATGAATGAAGTAGCTTGAAAGTGATAAACCTGGGGCTAGTGTTGTGCACAGCAGGTTAAGCTGCCTCATGTGACACGCATCCCACGTTGGAGTGCCTGTTTGAGTCGTGGCTGCTCCGCCTCTGATTCACCTCTGATCAGCTTCCCGGGGATGTGCCTGGGAAGGCAGTGGATGATTGCTCAAGGGCTTGAATCCTTGCCAACTGTGTGAGGGAACTAGATGGGGTTCCTGGCTCCTGGCTTCAGCCTGGCCCACCGCTGGCTGTGGAGGCCATCTTAGGAGTGAACCAACAGATGAAAGATTTCTTCCTTTCTCCCCCTGTCTCTGTCTCTATGTTTCTCCATCTCTCTCCCTGTCATTCTGCCTTCCAGCTATAAATAAATCTTTTAAAAATGATAAACTTTTATGACATTTTGAGAATTTAATAAGTACTTAATACTGGAAAAAATTTTTTAATATTCCTCAGTCAATCTGGGTTTCTTTTTAAATCCTAAAGTGTACCTAATCAGTGTTCCCCAGCTTGCATACGCCCATGAAACACCAGAAATTTAGCTAAAATGTACATTCTGATTCATTAATCTGGGATGGTGCCACAATTCTGCATTTCTAACAAGCCCCAGGGCATGTTGATGCTGCTGATCAGATAACTAGATTCACATAATGAAGTTTCAAATTATATGTATCACATAAAAAAGAATAAGGATACAACATAATGTAAAATGTGGCATATTTAACAAATGTTAGTTTAAATATTAAATTAAATAGTAAACATCCTCTTACTTTAAATCCGCGAATTTTGTAACTAACTCTTCCTCCCTCCACCAAAAACTAGAGGGAAAAAAGAATAGAACAACAAATGGATGCAAAAACACTTAACAGAACAATAGTTCTACATTTTGGCTGCGCTTTGAAGAATCAGCTGGAGAATTTTAACAAATATGTCATCAATCTATATCCATGAGTTTATGATTTTATTGGCCTGAGGCTCCAATAAGTTAGCTCTCTGCTTGGATGTTTTCTAATGCATAACCCACGTGAAGGACCTTCGCCCCATAGCCTCTACCCTAGATTTCCCAGGTCAGAAATGAGGATGACAGTGCAGTCTTAAAGCAAAGTCAATATCAGTTTATTGAGTAAAGGCTTTTGGACCTCAGATTATGTTAGATAAAGTAGAGACTTAAATACATAAAAGAACTTCCCAACACTGCCCTCAGGTGTTTGGCAGTCTAGCTAGGGATGGATCAGAAAGGGCTTTGTAACTTAGTGGGATAAACTCTGGCGCTGTAAGCGCTCCTGTGCTCTGTCGAACCTCCTACACATTCTCAAACCTGTCCACACATTGGACAAGGAGCAATTAACACAGGGTCTGATGGGTGTAGCCCGGGCACTGGTATTTTTTAAAGCCTCCAGATGATTCTAGTGTGCAGACAAGGTTGTGTATAACAGTTCAACGAGTATCTGTGCATGAGATTCTGAGAGTCTGACACGGGAACAGAAGGCCCACTGAAGGGGAGTCATTTTCCTCTTTTCTTCTGTCCTTACCAATGCCTCTAATTCCTTTAGCTCCAGTTACCCCCACCCTCATCCCCTGCTCCCCCTTTCCTTGCATGAACTTCACTCATATGTGTGAGCCTTGTGTCTATGCAGAAAATGCGACCCTGGTGCGAACTTTGTAGAGGGCAGATTTATTCATTGGTGGCAGGAAATTGTAAACTTCAAGAGGAGACCCAAAGCTGAGCCAGTGCTGCTCTGCTCCCTCTCTGTAAAGCTGAGGGTTAACACTGTGGCACAATGGGTTAACGCCCTGGACTGAAGTGCCAGCATCCCATATGGGCGCTGGTTCGAGACCCGGCTGCTCCACTTCCAATCCAGCTCTCTGCTATGACCTGGGAGAGCAGTGGAAGATGGTTCAAGTCCTTGGGCCTCTGCACCCACGTGGGAAACCTAGAAGAAGTTCCAGGCTCCTGGCTTCAGATCGGCGCAGCTCTGGCTGTTGTGGCCAACTGGGGAATGAACTAGTGGATGGAAGACCTCTCTCTCTCTGCCTCTCCTCTCTCTGTGTAATTCTTTCAAATAAATAAATAAAATCTTAAAAAAAAAAAAAAGAAAGAAACACCCTACCTGGGATCCAATCAGGTGGTTGTGGGCACTTGAAGACTTTTGTTGACACAAGATAATATTTTGTTGTGCCAGCAACTGGAAAAAGGAGTACAAATAACTGAGTAATGTTTAAGAGCTGTAATTAATTTCATTCAATGACCCCAACAAACCTGCTGTGGAGAATGTGAGAACTCCCTACACTCAACAGTGAACCTTTGGAAGACAGGGACAGGTGTGTATTCTTCAGGAACTAACACAGTCTTTTATTACAGAGGAACTTTAAAAACACCTGTTCAATGAATGAAATAAAATTTACAAGTTAAGAATGTGCCTCTTCTCCCCCAACTCTAGATGCTTCTTAATTCCAAAATGTCTCTGCTGTTTCTTAATTTGTTTTTAGAAATGTGCTTATGTTTATTTATTTTGAAAGACACAGCTATATATAGAGAGAGAGACTGAAAGAGATAGAGAGAGGAATCTTCTGTCTGCTGGTTCACTCCCCAAATAGCTGTAACAACTGGAAGTTGAGCGAGGCGTAAACCAGGAACCAGAAACTCCATCTGGGTCTCCCACGTGGGTGGCAGGGACCCAAGCTCAGGCACATTAGCAGGGAGTTGGATCAGAAGTGGAGCAGTGGGGCTTGAACTGGCACTTCAGTATGGAATTCTGGTGTTGCAGTGGTGGCTTAACTCCCTGTGCTACCATTTTGGCTGCTAAGTCCCTATTTAAAAGACTGCCACTCCGCTGGGCAGCTGTCCTCTAGAATCTCGGGTGATTGCAATCAGATGACAGCTGAGACTGGACTCTGACGTGGCCTCTGCGTTCATGTGTTTGGATCTTCAGCTGGGGTAGCTAGGATTTCTGGAGACCGCTGCACCTCTCTCACAGACACTGTCTTCATGTGGCTAGGCTGGGCTGCCTCACAGCGTGGTCGTCTCAGGGTAGCTGGAATTCTTCCAGGGCTGCTGGCTTTCACGACAGCGTGAGGTTTCTAAGACTCCCAACCAGACACTACCAGATTCGATGGGAAGGAGCTGTATAAGGGCACAAATCCTGGAAGATGTGTAGGGGTGTGTGCCTGTATTTTGTTTTAATTGGCTTTTCTTCCAGCAAACTTTTTCCAATGTTTATTGAGTATCCGTAAGTCATGAAGTTCATTCTCAAGTTCCTGCGGCTTCTTCACTGCAGGAAAGTCCCGACGAAGGAAGGGCCAGTATCTACAAATCCGTGATCATCAACACCTCCAAGGAGATGATGTGCTTCAGTGACTACCCCATCCCGGATCATTTTCCTAACTTCATGCACAACTCCCAGGTCCTGGAGTACTTCAGGATGTACGCCAAAGAATTTGGTCTTCTGAAGTATATTCAGTTTAAGGTAGGGAGTCTTGTGGGTATCTTTATGTTTGGAGTTGTCAAGTCAATGAATGACGTGGCTTTATGTAATAGTGCTTACATCTAGGGATTGACTTGATACGCACACATATTTGTTCTATCCAGGCAGAGATGCCCCTCTGGCCTCTCAGGATCTTACAAAATATTCACAGAAAGGCCTGTCTTTCACGTGGCTGCAGATACAGGAAGCCATCTGCCAGCGTGTCTTCACTGCCTTCATCTCACACTGTAGTGTTTGATTGCAAGGAAACAGATTCGGGGAAATGTTTCCCCAGTGGTGGAACAGGACTGATGGGGTGGGAACTTTAAAACAGTTTGTTCACTACTGCTTAACCTTTTTGTACTTTGTGAAGTACTTTCCAACACATTATATCCATGCAATCACCACAGTAACCCGGTGAAGTAACTATTGGGAAGTCATTGATAAAGTGAAGAAGACATGAACTCTGATGTAGAAGGAACAACACTGAACTGGAGAACCGAAGTCTGAATTCTGGTCTCTGGTTTACCATTCACTATGGACAAGCAAATTAGACAAGCACATTCTTTAGCTTCAGTTGGTCTTAGTTTCCTTGTTTGTAAAATAAGCTTGTACTAGATCATTTCCTGCTCTACAATCTTCCATGAGTTTTCTGTGATTTCTTTCCCTGGCCACAGCAGAGAGCTGGCCTGGAAGAGGGGCAACCGGGACAGAATCCGGCGCCCCAACCGGGACTAGAACCCGGTGTGCCGGCGCCGCTAGGCGGAGGATTAGCCTAGTGAGCCGCAGCGCCGGCCCGTTTTCTGTGATTTCTAATCATGACCATAAATGAACAGTTATTTCTGACAGCTGGGAAAAAGCCCAGATCTTTAGCCTTCTGATAATTCTGGTAATCATGCCTTTAACAACAATAATAAAGTGATAACATCAGTGACAACTTCCAGAGTAAGTCATTTACAACCCAGTGGTGCGCCTCCTCATTGGCTTAAACAACGTATGGGAAAACTCTGTTTCCATACTAAGCAGTGCAGATAACAAAGACAAAAAAATCAGCACTGCAGCTTAGATAAAGAGAAAAATGTTTATTATAAATATAATTAATAAACACCAGAGAGTGACGGGGTAATGAATGCTACAGAGATCCATCCATTGGAACTCAGAAGAGGGATACCTAATGCATGAGGGCTGTTAGCTGGAGCCTTAGCTAGGCTAAATGTCTACCCCTAATTACTTTTTTAAAAAGCTTAAAATTATTCCACTGACTATTCTACCTCATAGGTCTTTCTTTATGGTTACTTGTAAAATGGGCATTTATAGAAACTTAGGAGAGATTTATTTATACAAAATGAGAGCCACTGAGATGTTTTTGTGCTCTACCAGGAAAGGGAATCCTATGTCTCATCCACTTACTTCAGGCTAACCAATGAGAGCTGGACTTTCATTAAGACATCAGGGACCTTAGGGTGTCTGAGGGTTGGAGGAGGAATGGGCGTTGAGTCCATGAAGTGTCCTGGAGGCTGGCGCTTTACTCCGGTGCTGTCGTGTGCTGGGGCATGGACTCAGAGACCCAGGAATCTGCACTTTTCTAGAAGCAGAGCAGAGTGTATTAGCGTGCCAACTCTATTGTATTGAGTTGGCTGTGTAGATGTTTTCTCACTCTGACCACAGCCCAACACACAACAGTTCTTATCTGGGGAGTATGAAAATCAGATATCCCTGCGGGGAGTTGCGCTGGTGATATTGGCCCTCTGTGTAACATTTGCACAGAGACTCATGTCAGGGAAGATGTCCAGGTTGTAGCTGTGGTTCCAGTCCCCTGGGGCTCTCACTTTTCTTTCTAGACCACTGTGTGCAGTGTGAAGAAGCGGCCTGATTTCTCCACGTCGGGCCAATGGGAAGTGCTGACTGAGTGCGAAGGGAAAAAGGAGAGTGCTGTCTTCGATGGGGTCCTGGTTTGCACCGGCCATCACACCAGTGCTCACCTGCCACTGGAAAGCTTCCCTGGTAAGTAGCCTACCAGGAAGGAAGACCCTTGAACCATGCCTGCGACCTGACCTCCCAAAAATGGGAGGGTTTTGGTCTCTGATCCCAGCATTGGCGTAAAATAAGGCTTACCCTGATTGAAACATGTTTGGGTAACTTGTGTGGTTGCCATGGGAATGGGAGAAAGAAATAATGGTCATTTGGGAGGTTAGAGGAAATTAGAAGTCTTATCTATTTAGTTTCACCATAACTTCAGTTTTTTTTTTTGTTTTTTTTTTTTTTGACAGGCAGAGAGACAGAGAGAAAGGTCTTCCTTTGCCGTTGGTTCACCCTCCAATGGCCGCTGCTGCCGGCGCATCGCGCTGATCCGAAGGCAGGAGCCAGGTGCTTACCCTGGTCTCCCATGGGGTGCAGGGCCCAAGGACTTGGGCCATCCTCCACTGCACTCCCGGGCCACAGCAGAGAGCTGGCCTGGAAGAGGGGCAACCGGGACAGAATCCGGAGCCCCGACCGGGACTAGAACCCGGTGTGCTGGCGCCGCTAGGCGGAGGATTAGCCTAGTGAGCTGCGGCACCGGCACTTCAGTTTTTCTAAGGATGAAAAGAAAGCATGTAGAGTTCTTGATCACCGCTAGAATGAATGAGGGATTTTTCAGCAATGAAACAAACAAAAATACTGAGTTTCTAAGGAAGAAATGAAAGCTTGGAATTTAATTTCAGTCTCTGGTTTGGATTTTCATTTTTGAAAAAAAAATTAAGTGTACTCCATATATACTCTAGATGGGGAAACTTGTCTGTCAAGGGCCGTTTTATAACATCACTCACTGGGCCAAACAAAATTATCAGCTTAAAAATTAGCCTGCTGGAGATTTATTGAGTTCCAAGTGTTACCTACAGCTGCCTTGGTAGGGCCAGACTGAATGATTTCCTGGACCTTATATGGCCTGCGGGCTGGACATTCCCCATCCCTGCTTTAGAGCTTGTAATGCCATATAAATTCTAATTGCAGTGGGCATAGGTATTGAGGGAAAGAAAAGACAAATGAGAATGGAGGTTTTCTGTGGCATTCTGGATTTGTGAGACTGCAAATCCACAATACAAACAGATCCTGAGTGAAGCATACTAATTATGACAAGGAAACCACAAGGTTCTACGCTAAGGCTATTAGAGAAGGAAATGGACAGAGATACTCAGATAGGCGAGAGAGCAGCTAAGTATAGGGAGAATATAGGCTTGAACTTGTAACTGCATAAAACCCAAGTGATTTGACAGATGATATCCAGTGCAGGAACCATCACCAGGTAACTCTTTTCCCTTCTCTTGCAGGGATTGAGAAGTTCAAAGGGCAGTACTTGCACAGTCGAGACTATAAGAACCCAGAGAAATTCACTGGAAAGAGAGTCATTGTCATTGGCATTGGGAATTCTGGAGGGGACCTGGCTGTGGAGATCAGCCACACAGCCAAGCAGGTTGGAATCAGTAAATTACTTCCTTCACTGCAGCTGCGCTCTCACCTAGGAAGTGGACCCAAGGAGAGCATGTGTCTGCACAGAGCCATCAGTGCCAGTGGCAAATGCAGGGCTTAGCTTTATTGCCTCAGTTGACAACACTGTGAGTAATGCTAATAGAAGAGCCAAGATTACCAGTTATAGCTCAGCAGTCAGTTGGCCTCACGCTGAGGAACTCCTGGCCACAGACCCATCTTCTCAGAGTGTGCCTCTGGCTGGAAGGAAGACCAAATATTTGCTGGGAGAGGTTGTTGGAATGCACCATTCAGAGTGGGTCTCAGGTTGTCAGAAAGGCACCTGTGTTCCTTGAAAATTTCCCACTCAGAAGATGGGGGGTGAGCTTTCCTTTTCACTCCCCAGATTGTGGGGGGGAACAACCTCATCTTTGCAAAGACAAGGTGGTGATCAGTATAAAGAGCATCTCCACTGTAGCACATATAAGCAGCTTGCCAGCCTTTGCACACAGTTAAGAAACACAAAGTGACATTCGCCCTAAAGCAATTTCTATCTCCTTAGGTTTTTGTATCGTAGATTTTGAACTGAGAAAAAAGTATCTTCACTATAAATACCTGGAAAACTATATTACTACATTTTATTACCCATGTCTTCGTTGAGTTGTAATTTTATTGGCAAGAGGTAATTGCCTGGTATTTCTTCCACAAGTTAAAGCTTTGCTTCACAAATATGCTGGAAGCCATTTTTTTAAACTAGAAGCTTAATGCTCTAACTTTGTTAAGTGAACCTTAACCAGCAACTCTATTCCAATAGTACTTTCTCCCTGTACTGTCCCCAGGTGTAATACAAATGAGACTGCATATGTTATTCCATGAGTTCATTGAATACTTATCAGGAAATTATTGCATTTAAAAAAAAAAGAATAGGTAAAAACTTGCATGGGTGTTATGATAGTGCAGGCCCTTGCAGGAGCCTTCTTTAATATTCTTGGCTTATCTGGCCAGCGCCATGGCTCACTAGGCTAATCCTCCGCCTGCAGCGCCGGCACCCCGAGTTCTAGTCCCGGTTGGGGCGCTGGGTACTAGTCCCGGTTGCTCCTCTTCCAGTCCAGCTCTCTGCTGTGACCAGGGAGCGCAGTGGAGGATGGCCCAAGTGCTTGGGTCCCTGCACCTGCATGGGAGAGAGGGCTCCTGGCTTCGGATCGGCACAGCACCGGCCCTAGCGGCCATTAGGGGAGTGAACCAACAGAAGGAAGACCTTTCTCTCTGTCTCTCACTATCTGTAACTCTCTCTCTCACTAACTCTGCCTGGAAAAAAAAAATATTCTTGGCTTCTCAAATGATCGGCTCTGAGGGGCATAGGGCTTCCCTGCCCTGGGCGATTAGAGACTGTCGAAGAAGAAAGCAGGTGGGCAGAGCCCAGGCAGCTGTGTGGGTGAGAGAGCCTGGGAGAGTGCATATCAAAACCGCCCGCACAGCAGGGCATTGTCAGTGGCCACATTCTAGCTTTCGGTGGTACATATCAAGGAAGCTGCATCTAACCACACCTAGAAATTCAGTTCATCAAGGAAGTTTCCGTGTAATTCTTATGACATAATGCTTGTGTGAAGAGAAAATATCCCCCTTTTAAAAGATCAATTTCATCTAAGGTTATTTTGATTAAACACTTTCCCTTGCTGCTTTTCTTAAAATAAGAACTAAAAGTATGAATAGCCATTAAGCATTTATGAAGTCTTTATACCATACCTTTCACAAAATCATTAATTCATCCCCACAACGGCCTTGTAGTGTATGCATTATTGTTACCAAGTAGAGAATGTTTTAATTAAGTCTGTGAGCATTTACATTATTCATCACAAGTTAAATAACCTGAACACAAAACTGTGGGGTTCCCTAACCACACATATTCTGTGAACTGTGAACATGAAAGCACTTAATTATGCCGGCTGGGGAGGATACATGGGTAACGGACTGGAGCCTCCCTCTATAGACAGGTCATCCTTTCACATGAGCGCTTGGACAAAAGACCATGGGGCAATGTACTCAATATCTGACAAGGCTGGAGATCATTCCAGACAGCTGTGTATTGCAGAAGAGGTGATACTTTTGCAAGGAAATTGCAAACATGGACTTTGTCCAGTAGAGGATACAGAGGACCAACTTCCTATTGTCCTACTAGCAATCTTAATTTTTTTCCACTAAGAATTAATGAAACATTTCTTAAGCATTGGATTGGAAACAGCTCTGTCAACTTGGTAGCCATATATTTTATCTCAAACAAGTTGTTCATCCTCTCTATGCCTTTCACCTATAAAATGGTGATAACAGTACTTCCTTCAAGAGGTTGTTGTACTGACTAAGTAAGAATATAAATGACTCAGCACAGTGACTGACAGGTCACACATCTCAATAGATGGAAGTGATGATGTGCTGGGGAGGTTAGACCTTCCACCCTGGACAAAACACATTTGAAGAGACAGAAACTAACAGTGTAGAAAGTTTATATGTATATGTATCCATTTATATGTATATAGTATCCATATAATTTATGAATAACAGGATTTTGGGCTAATAATTCAATCAATGGCAATGGCAAAAATAAGAAATGAGGGGTTTTGGATTACATGATCTCCAGTTGCTTTCAGCTTTTCCATTCCGTGATTTTCAGTGAGTTGTACAAGTGGTAAGTGCTAAAGAAATTCAGGGAGCAGAAAGCTGTCAGCCTGAATGGTCAGTGGTGTCTTCATGCAGGAGGTAGATTTGACCTGGATCATGAAAGTGAATAGGCTTTGGGGGATGAAGAGGGGAAAGAGCTTTCAGGAAGGCAAAATGGCATGAACCAAATGGCTGCAGTGGATCCGAGCAAAACATGCTCTTGGTCAGGGAATCCACTGACTTAATTGTAAGCTTAGTGTTTGGGAAGGAAAATGTCAGGAAACTGAAGACTACACAGGGACTGAAAGGCCAGACTACTGAGTGAACATAATCTTGAAGAAAACAGGGGTGCTTTTGAAGGTTTATTTATAAGCCAGAGTAACAAAAGCAATCAATTTTTACTGTGCCTCAGGTCTTCCTCAGCACCAGGAGAGGGGCTTGGATCATGAATCGTGTCGGCGACCATGGATATCCTATTGATATACTGCTGTCTTCTCGATTTAGTCAATTTTTGAAGAAGATTACTGGTGAAACAATAGCAAATTCATTTTTGGAAAGAAAGATGAACCAAAGGTTTGACCATGCAATGTTTGGTCTGAAGCCTAAACACAGGTATGTTCCCAAGATGCAGGTCGTGTGTAATGGCCAAGGTACAAGAATAAGGACTGTTTTTGCAGGCCATTCACTTATCAGTACCTCTTCGTTAGTAAAACCCATAGAGTCTGAAATTACACCAGAATCTGAAACCTGAAGATCACCTTGCCCGCAAGGAGTCTAAAGTCCGCTAGTCTGTATTTTTCTGTCTGATTCTCCTTGGCATTAATCATTTTCTCATTCTCTCAGGTATCAGGTATTTTTGTATAATATTCAACAACAAGGCATCATTCATTAATTCATTCAACATCATTCATTAATTCATTCCTCCAATAAGCACTGCATATTTGTTATAGCCAGGCATTATTATGGGCATGAAATACAGAGAGAAAAGATATAATACTAACAGAAATAATAAAAACAACTTGCTGTTTTGGGAGGACTTAAGACACAGTGCTAAATGACCTATATGCAGTATCTCATTTAATGCTCACCACAGCCATATTGGTTGATACTATTTTTAGCTCCAGCCTAAAGATATAAAAAGTGAGACTTAGAAAAACAAAGTAATTTGCACAAGGTCAACACAGCAATAAGTGGCAGAGCTGAGAAATGGATCGTACCTTAAATACTCTAATGAGAAGAGAAATAATAAAAAATGGGAAAGAAAGACATAGAATGTTATGAGAATATGCAGGGTGGAGTCCTCACACAGCCAGGAAAGTAGATGGTGAAAACATTTCTAGAGGCTGATGTTAAATGCTTTTCCCTGTCCAATTTTATAATTTTGAAAACGTTCATATCTACAGGAAAGTCCACAAAAGTACCCCAGTGAGAACCCATATACCCTGTACCTGGGTTCACTTTGTTCTGCTTGCTTTCTCTCTCTGCCCCTCTCTGAACACAGACAGATCTACACATACACCGTTAAGCACACATACATATGTAAGTACACTTTTTCTCTGAACCACTTGCCAGTGCATCCCAATCATTAAACACTTTACCCTAAATACTAAGAAAAAGTGCATTCTCCTGCATGTCCATAACACAGTTGTGACACTTGGGAAATTGAACATGGATAAAATACATTATCTAATATATTGGCATATTCAAATCTCCCAGTTGTCTCAATAATATTCTTTATAGTTTTTTTTTCTTAAATTCGGATACTGTCACTTATCAGTCACACCATTGTATTTAGTTATCATGTCTCTTTCATCCCTCTTTATCTGAAATACTTCTCTATTCTTTTTATATGAACTTTTTTCTTATTTCTAAGAATCCAATATATTTTCCAAGGCATGGTTTTGAAGAAAGTCTTTAAATTTGGACTTGCACAGTAGTTTTCCCTTTATTATATTAAGGTTAAATATTTTTGCACATATAGTCCATAGGTGATATGATGTATCATCTTGGTGGGTCACATTGGGAGCCACTTGCTATCAGCCTATCCCATATTAATAATGCTAGATTTGATCATTGGGATAAGGTGGTATCTAACTAATGGGTTATTCCATTATGAAGATATTTATCCCTTTGAAATGCACAGTAAGTGGGGTGATAATTGGAGACTGTTTCCCAAGAACATTTCCCCCAATTACTTTAGCATGCATGTCTTTGCTGGCTGCAAAATAAAGGCTTTATGGAATAATAGGAGACAACCAAGAAAATAGGGCAGGGAAGTACCATTTTAAGGGCAAAGTCTTGGAATAATAATACTAATAATAAAAAGTACATTACACTATGGGAGTTGTACTTAGCCTGGTATAGCTAAACTAATGGCAAAGGTAGAAGAGTGACTGAATACATCTCTAGTTTCACTGGGCATAAAAAACTTGCATGCTCTGCTAAACAAAAAGTTTGGAATAAAGAGAGCTGAAAACCATTCAGAGGTTTAAATGAGTGAGTGACATAATGACAAATATGTTTTAGAACAACCATTCCAAAAATGGTGTGAAAGGGGGATGCGACAGCTATCAATCCAGGTAAGAGAGGGAGTAGATAAAAATTACTTTGGGCATGTTAAGGGGACAAAGGGAAAAGGCTTGATAATTAGATATGAGACTCACATTTCTACGGCTTGGACAGCTAGGTAGATGGTGGTTCTGTTAGTAAAAAGGAGGTGGTGTAGAGAGAGACAAAATCATGAGTCTGGAATGAAGAACGCAGTCTAACTAAAGGTTACAATTGAAGCATAACTGCACACAACAAAGCAATGACAGCTATTCAAACATATAGTACTACTGAAGCCAGGCCAGCTGTGTCTGCAGATGATGGACTGAGGATTCCCAGAGCCAATTAATTTAGGAGTCACGGGTTAAGACTCCCTTTTAAGAAAAAGCAAGATATTGGGAACCTAATTTTATTTATTTGCACCTTTATCATATACTATGCATGGAATGCTACTTAACAGGACCAAAGTATCTCAAGGGAGTTCATACAAAAGTTTTTATAAAGATTCTAAAACCCTATGTGTGTAACATTGGGCAAGTCACCTAACTTCCCCAAGCCTCAGGTTCCTTATCTGTAAAACCTGAAATATGACAACTGCCTACCTCTTCCATAGCATTATATAAAGGTCAAATAAGTTAATGCATGGAAAAGCAATTTATAAACTGCAAATCGCAATGCACATGTAATTTATTGCATAGTTTGGAAAATGATGATCCAGGTCTAGCACTTGGGCCTTTGAAACTGGAAATGAGACTAAACGGAATGTTAACAGTCTAGTTCCATCAGGCTTCTTGATACGTGGATAGAAACCACTGGCTGTGATCCTCTATCACAGAAGATAACTGTTACTTGAGAAGCCATACAGGTACTCCTCAAAAAAGATGCTCCTTCCTTCACTTCTCCAGCACCCTTCCTTTCAGTGCCATCCAGAGTCCAGTTTCTGTTCTGAGATCCTGTTCTGGATCTCAAGCTGGTGTGTATTAGACCTTTTTAGAATCTTATGTATAAACTGAGGGGGAGACCATTGGCATATTATTTAACCACCTCCATAAAAGCAGAATTTTGCCTACATGGTACTGATTCTCTCTCTCTCTCTCCTCACAGAGCTTTGAGTCAACACCCAACAGTAAATGATGACCTGCCAAATCGTATCATTTCTGGCTCTGTCAAGATCAAAGGAAATGTGAAGGAATTCACAGAAACAGCTGCCATATTTGAAGATGGCTCCAGGGAGGATGACATTGATGCTGTTATTTTTGCCACAGGCTATAGCTTTTCCTTTCCTTTTCTTGAAGACTCTGTCAAAGTGGTGAAAAACAAGGTATCTCTGTATAAAAAGGTCTTCCCCCCTAACCTGGAAAAGCCAACTCTTGCAATCATAGGCTTGATCCAGCCCCTGGGAGCCATTATGCCCATTTCAGAGCTCCAAGCACGATGGGCCACCCTAGTGTTTAAAGGTAAGTGACTGTGCAAATTGACTGTATAATAATAGGTAGTACGTTTAATTCTGTGTATGTACGTGCGTTAAGACAATATATAAGATTATAACAGCGCCTGGCACAAAGTTAGAACTATACAATTCACTTTTGAGTATATAAGTATATTGATTAATCAGGGTCACCTCACACATTATTCCAAACTAGGCATGCTTTGACCTCAACCCTGGTGATGCTTATTTAGTAGGACTGGAGTAGGGGAGCATAAGATCATTGAGCAAGATATTCCCCAGGTGATCCCAGTGTGCATTCTAGGTTGGAATCCATTCATGAAGATTTTATACTATTAGTATATATTTGTTTTTCATTTTTGATAAAATCAAATGTAGAAATGGCATGAGTTGATTTCAGCCAGATAAGAGACTAGTTTAGAATGTAGACTAGCAATCTCTCAGATCTTATTTCCTCTTTTATTTCTCCTTTCAGTTTGGCTGGGAGTACTTACAAAAGAAACCACAGGGGTTGGGGACAGAATGTTGACCATGAGTCAGCAGAATGACATGGCTTCCAACAAGCTTAGTTAAATGCAGATCTTTTTTTTTTTTTTTAATTTTTATTTTTTGACAGGCAGAGTGGACAGTGAGAGAGAGAGAGAGAGAGAGAGAGAGAGAGAAAGGTCTTCCTTTTGCTGTTGGTTCACCCTACAATGGCCGGCGCACCACGCTGATCCGATGGCAGGAGCCAGGTACTTATCCTGGTCTCCCATGGGGTGCAGGGCCCAAGCACTTGGGCCATCCTCCACTGCACTCCCTGGCCACAGCAGAGAGCTGGCCTGGAAGAGGGGCAACCGGGACAGAATCCGGTGCCCTGACTGGGACTAGAACCCGCTGTGCCGGTGCCGCAAGGCGGAGGATTAGCCTAGTGAGCCGCGGCGCCGGCCTAAATGTAGATCATTTTTAATAAGGATCGTGTCCTAGAACATCACAAGCCTTGAAATTGGTCATACCACATCTGAAGACCTATTTTAAAAGTGAAATCTCTGGAGTGCATTTAATAAGGAGAGTGATAAGAATGCATCAAAAGATTTGCAAACATATCTGAAGTATAGCTGAAGGAGCTGGAGGGGTTTAAACTGGAGAAATAGGTTCAGGGGAAATAAGAGTTCCCTTCAGACGCCAGAACAGATGATGCATGGAAGAACTCCATTTGCTGGGCTCGCTCCAGACAGCTGAACAAGACCCAGGAGTGAGATCTTAAGGGTTGCACGGTATCAGCTTACCATTTAAAAACCTTTTTCCTGTAAGCCAGTGCCATTTCAAGACAGAATGGGCTGCTCCTGCAATGGTGAGGAATCTAAGCAGAATAGGATCCCAGCGGTGGGATGTGGAGTAGATTCAAGCCTCAGAACAGACAGAAAACAGGTGACCTTTAAGTTTCTTCTTGATTCTGTGGTTGCAATAATAAAATCTGCCATGACTACTAAGGTTTGAGTAAAACTATTCAGAGTTCTTACTGGAATTACAGCTTGCTTTCTCCCAGTGAAGATTTTAATGGCAGCAGAGAAGAAAAAAGAGGGAGAAGCAGTGGTTTTAGAGTCAGTAAATTAAAACCCTTTCCAGATGTACCCAAATTTCAATCATTTCTCATTTTCTTCTAGTCCTATCCAGTATATCATGTACAACTTGAGAGCACTGGACAAACAATCAAATACAATACAATACAATCAAATACAAGTAACTCATTAGGTTGACTTAGTTCTGGTCATATTAAATGGGCCTTTTAATTGGGTCAATTAAGTAAGGGAAGAGAGGTTCATTAAAACAAGCCAATGCACAAAAGAACCATCAAAAGAAATAGGAAAAATGAGTATTTGGAAGTTTATAAAATGGCTATAGGATTAGGGAGTCTTGGGAAAAATGCACAAAAATCCCAACTCCATATGCTAGCAGAAGCCCAATGCTAATTCCTACAAATTTCTTCCAATACCTAGAAGGAAAAAAAAAATCTTCAAAAGACTCCCTCGAACTTTACCAACTCTTGCCAGGAACCCTGAGTTTTTATTCTGTCTGTGACCCACCTGTTTACCTATCAAATGCTTGCCTGTCTCATCCTTGATTTCTGCTCTCACTGTGCCAGTTTTTAAACCCTTAGCATCAGCTGGTGTCTCCCACTGTTTCATGCCTGCCCAGCTCACCTGTCCTTCCTAGCCTGTCCTTAACCATACCAAGCTCCATTTTCCTTCTTTCTTTGTTCTCTGGAATTATGGTTCTCTCATCAAGAAAATATTCCACCCTTTTCTAGCACATGGAATGCGTTTCCTTGCCGTGACCAAAACTTTTTCTTCTCTCTTCGCCTCTCTCGCAGTTTTCACTGGTGCCCTGCTTTCTTTCCATGACTTTCCTTGGCAGTCTTATCAAATTATGCTCATCTGTGGTTCACAAGATGGCGTTATAGTGGCATTCAAGGTCCTTCACCCCCCAGACACAGCCAGCTCTTCTCAGGCCCATGATTCTCTAGTCTTTACTCCCACCCTGCAATCATTTGGATGCACTGGATGACTTAGCCAGTAGGTACCATGGACCCCGTGCCTTTACTTCTGCTGTTCTCTCCTTGGTCTGCCCTCTGTTTGCTTCTGATTTGTACAGAACAAGCCCAGGTATATTCCCCACTCCCTTAGTACCTTGAAACCCGTTCAGATACAAGGATCATGTTTATTTGCCTTTGTGTTCTAAGCCTAAACCAGTGCCAAGCACGTATAGTCATCTGACAAATATCAGTTTAAACAAATGCCAATTAGCCTTAGGGTCAATGAAGTTGTACATTCTGTAACTGAAACTTCTTTTTTGAGGATCTCAGCTGATGAACTATCTTGGCCAATTCCAGTCCTGTGAAAAGGCAGCCCTCTCTCTCTTCTCTTGTAATGTCATCTTTATACCAGAATGTTCTGGGCAGATCAGGATTTACAGAAAATCAGCTAGCATTTACTGACCTCTCACTATGTACCAGGCCCTCTGTTGATAATGGAGGTGGGAAATACAATCCTTCTGTTGATGGAACTCAACGCCAAGTGAGGCAGACAGGTAAAGACTGTTGCTATACTCATTCTGCAGCTATTTACTGTACCCTCAATAGCTGCGTGTTCCAATAGCAATGGAGAGGGACTGTATGGGAGCTGTAGAAATATGTACTCAATTCTCAGCCACAACTACATATAGTTTAATAAGGAACAAGAAAATCCTGACCATAAGAGGAAGGGAAATCATTAATGTTTATGTGAAATTAGAGTAAAATGACAGAACAAATGGAGTTCTGGGAACTGCAAGCAGTTCAGAATGCTGAAAAATAAAGTATTAAAAGAAGTAAGGAAAAGGAAGCTAGAGATAATCATAAAGGAGATATCAAGAAAAATCTCTGAGGGGCTGACGTTGTGGTGCAGTGGGTTAAGCTGCTGCTTGAGATGCCAGCATCCCCTATCACAGTGCTGGTTTGAGTCCCGGCTGATCCACTTCTGGTCCAGTTCCATGCTGATGTGCCTGGGAAAGCAGCAGAAGATGGCCCAAGTGCTTGGGCCATGCCACCCACATGGAAAACTGGATGCAGTTTCAAGCTCCTGGCTTTGGCCCAAATTTTGTGGCCATTTGGGAGAGTAAACCATCTAATAAAAGATCTCTCTCTTTCTCTCTCTCTCTCTCTCTCTCTCTCTCCCTTTCTCCATCACTTTACCTTTCAAATAAATACATGAGTCTTTACAAGCAAAAAGAAAATCTTTGAGGGCCTTGCAAGAAGTTTGCACTTCATATCGGCCGTGGAGAACCACTGACAGATTTTAACTGGAAAACAGATGTGCGATTTAGAAGATACGTTAGAGGGGAGTGAAATGGGAAGTTGGCCAGTAAGAGCCTGTGGTCAGAGTCTGAGGAAGACCTAATGAAGGCTTAAACCAAGGTATCAGGGAGAGATAGACTCAACTGAAAGGATTTGGTGACAGAATGCATATTGGGGATGGCAGAGAAAAGAATCTGCTCAGGGGCTGTGACCATTAATTTAAATTGGGGATTCAATATAGAGCACAAGATACAAAGGGTGGAGATAACATGGGAAAGACTGTATGTGTCTAACAAGGAAATACTATAAGAACAGATGAACGAATGAGGAGAACTGCATTACATGACACTGTGTACATATCTAGCTTTAAAAAAAAAAAAAGACAAATTGGCTGTCTCCCACAGCTAATAAGTAGACTTCCTCCTCCATGATATTTCTGACTAATAGAAGTAAAATTTATGGTTGTACTATGAGATTTGGAATTTGGAACTCAACTCTCAAAATATGTGGATTTCTTTATTTTTTGAGCATTCAAAAAGATCTGTGATTAATCTGAAATGAAGCATTTCAATGTTTCCTCATTGAAATAATAATTCCCGGGCCTGCGCCGTGGCTCACTTGGTTAATCCTCTGCCTGTGGCGCTGGCATCCCATATGGGTGCCGGGTTCTAGTCCTGGTTGCTCCTCTTCCAGTCCAGCTCTCTGCTGTGGCCCCGGAGTGCAGTGGAGGATGGCCCAAGTGCTTGGGCCCTGCACCCGCATGGGAGACCAGGAGGAAGCACTGGCTCCTGGCTTCAGATCGGCACAGCACACCAGCTGTAGCAGTCATTGGAGGGTGAACCAACAGAAAAGGAAGACCTTTCTCTCTGTCTCTCTCTCTCTCTCACTGTCTATAACTCTACCTGTCAAATAAAAAAAAAATAATTCCCATGGATTAAATGAGAAAACACATGGAGAAACACAGCAGGCTATCTCTGAGTGCTGAATTTCAAGTCTTATATTTTAAGAGTGCCACAACCAGGAGAGTGGCTAGAGTGGGCCCAGAAAAGGGCAACCACTATGGCAGAGAGTATGAAACTCCTTGTATGGGGAACTGGAGCTATTTAGCCTGATAATGAGAGATTTGAAGGAGTTATGACAGTTGTCTTGACATGTTTCAAGGGCTACCATGTGTTAAAATTAACACTATGGCTCCAGAAGGCAGATGTAGGTCCAGTGATACAAGTTTCATAGATGCAGATTTTAACGTCAATAAAAAATAATGTTCCATTAAGCAGCCAGATATTTCATCTCCTCAGAAGGTAATGAGATCCCCATTACCAAAGACATTTAAGGGGGAATGACATAATCACTTGATTAATGTGTGATGAGAAGGCTTGTATTAGGCAAGATATATTCCCATCCTGAAACCCAACATTCTAGAATGTTCTGGAGTAACACCTTAGGACCTGATGGAGTAGTTTTTTAAATGACATATTTCCTGAACATCTGGGCATATATCTAATTATGTAAATTTTTTTAAAAGATCTACTTTGTTTATTTGAAAGGCAGAGATACAGAGAGAGAAAGGGAGAGAGAGGGGTTCATTCCCCAAATGGCCACAATAGCCACAGCTAGACCAAGCCCATGCCAGGAGCCAAGAGCTTCCTCCAGGTCTCCCACGTTGGTACAGGAGCCCAGGCACTTGGGCCATCCTCCACTGCCTTCTCAGGCACATTAGCAGGGAGCTGGATCGGAAGTGGAGCAGCCAGGACTAGAACTGGTGCCCATATGGGATGCTTGTGCTGCAGGCAGCAGCTCAACCCACTGTGCCACAATGCTGGCTCATAATTATGTAAGCTTACAGTTGTTTATACTGACCTCAATACCAGTTCCCTTTTGGCTAGCCATGTCCTTGGCTTTAAATTCCTACTACTGGAATAGTGTATTTGGTGCTTAAGTTTATCTGTCAAGATTGGGTATTAAGACCTGCCCTTGGCCTTGCCCCTGTCTTAGCAAATAAAAAAAGTTTGGAAGGTGAAGCCTATTTCCCAAAGAGCTTTAGGCATACAATGTGATGGCTTGCTTGCTTTTACTTCCTACTCTCTCTGTGGTATAGAGCCTCTTTGTTTTCAAGAGCACAGGTGTACAAAAATAAATAATCCAAGAAAAAAGAATGCAGGTGTAGATGTCTTCCTGCACTCCCCTGACCTTTGCCCCTCACTTTCCATTTCTCTTGAAGGCCATTTCTCATTTCATCACGTCCATGTTCCACTTCCCAGATTGTTAGCAAGGAGGCAGGTTTTAGTCGGAAGGGAGAGCAGGAGAGAAACATCTGCCAAAGACAAGCTAGAATACAGAAGTCACAGTTGATAATATCATTACACTGTGGTGGTCAGAGGGTAAGTGATACATGAATTGCAATCTCCTTGGGTACAGAAAATGACGTGGTGTTTCTTTGAATTCTCTAAAGTATAGTAATTGCTAATAAGGATCCTTGTTTCTGCTGAGGTAATTTTACACTTATGATTTTAATTTTTTTCTCTTTAGGGCTAAAGACTTTACCCTCACAAAGTGAAATGATGACAGAAATATCTCAGGTTCAAGAGAAAATGGCAAAAAGGTAAGAAATTCTCCTGGAATATTTTTCATCTCCCTGGTTACCTTTCCTCTGTATTCCTTTTTAAAAATTTTTTATGGGCTGGAGTTGTGGTATAGTGGATAAAACCACTGCTTATGAAGCTAGCACCCCATAAGGGTGCTAGTTCGTGTCCAGGCTACTCCACTTCTGATCTAGCTTCCTGCTCGTGGCCTGGGAAAAGCATGGAAGATGGCCCAGATGTTTGGGTTCCTGCCACCCATGTGGGGGACCTGTATGTAGCTCCTGGCTCCTAGCTTCAGCATGGCCTAGCCCCAGCTGCTGCAGCTGTCTGGGGAGTGGGTCAGTGCAAGGAAGATCTCTCTCTCTCTCTCTTCTTGCTTGTCCCTCTCTCTCTGTAACTCTTTCAAATAAATAAAACTTTTAAAAAATATATTTATTTTCATTTTGTTTGAAAAGCAGACACACACACACACATACACACAGAGGTAAAAAAACAAAGAGAAAGATTTTGTTCTTTCCTCAAATGCCCACAACAGCCAGGGCTGGTCCAGGCCTAAGTCACCAGCCTGGAATTCTGTGGGTGGCAGGGAAACAAGTATTTGAGCTACCTTCCAGGTTGCACATTAACAAGAGGCTAGATCAGAAGAGGAGGAGCCGGGACTTGACCCAGGCACTTGCATATGGGATATGTACGTCCCAAGTGATGTCTTAACCACTGAGCAAAATGCTCAACCCTCATTTCTTTTTTTTCATAGAAAGCTTTTATTTAATAAACATGTTTCATAAGTACAACTTTTGGATCATAGTGGTTCTTCCCCCATATTCGCCCTCCCACCCCCGAACCATCCACTTCCTACTCCTTCTCTCATCCCATTCTTCATTAAGATTCATTTTTATTTTTTTGACAGGCAGAGTTAGGCAGTGAGAGAGAGAGAGACAGAGAGAAAGGTCTTCCTTCCATTGGTTCACTCCCCAAATGGCCGCTACGGCTGGCACTGCGCCAATCTGAAGCCAGGAGCCAGGTGCTTCCTCCTGGTCTCTCATGCGGGTGCAGGGCCCAAGCACTTGGGCCATCTTCCACTGCCTTCCTGGGCCACAGCAGAGAGCTGGACCGGAAGAGGAGCAACCAGGACAGAACCGGCGCCCCAATCAGGACTAGAACCCGTGGTGCTGGTGCCACAGGTGGAGGATTAGCCTAGTGAGCCACAGCACTGCCTGATTCATTTTTAATTATCTTTATATACAGAAGATCAACTCTATACTAAGTAAAGATTTGAACAGTTTGCACCCACACAGACACACAAAATATAAAGCACTGTTTGAAGACTAGTTTTACTGTTAATTCTCATAGTACAACACATTAAGGACAGAGGTCCTACATGAGAAGCAAGTGCACAGTGACTCCTGTTATTGATTTAACAAATTGACACTCATTTATGACATCAGTGATCAACCAAGGCTCTTGTCACGAGCTGCTAAGGCTATGGAAGCCTCTTTATTTTTTTTTTTATTTTTATATTTTCATTTATTTATTTGACAGGTAGAGTTACAGACAGTGAGAGAGAGAGACACAGAGAAAGGTCTTCCTTCTGTTGGTTCATTCCCCAGATGGCCGCAACAGAGCTACGCCAATCCGAAGCCAGGTGCTTCTTCCTGGTCTCCCATGCAGGTGCAGGGGTCCAAACACCTGGGCCATCCTCCACTGCCTTCCCAGGCCACAGCAGAGAGCTGGACTGGAAGAGGAGCAACCGGGACTAGAATGGGTGGCCATATGGGATGCCGGTGCCGCAGGCAGAGGATTAACCTAGTGTGCCACTGCGCCAGCCCCTGGAAGCCTCTTGAGTCCACAAACTCTTGATATTATTTAGACAAGGCCATAATCAAAGTGGAAATTCTCTCCTCCCTTCAGATAAAGGTACCTCCTTCTTTGATGGCCCCTTCTTTCCACTGGGATCTCACTCACAGAGATCTTTCATGCAGATCATTTTTTGTCCGTGTCTTGGCTTTCCATGCCTGAAATGCTCTCATAGGCTTTTCAGCCAGATCAGAATGCCTTAAAGGCTTATTCTGAAGCCAGAGTGCTATTTAGGGCATCTGCCATTCTATGAGTCTGCTGTGTGTCCTGCTTCCCATGTTGGATCGTTCTCTCCTTTTTAATTCTATCAATTATTAATAGCAGACACTTGGTCTTTCAACCTTCATTTCTTAAAAAGAGTAATACTGTACTATATTTAACTTCCTTGTGTTGGTTTAAGGATTTAGATTATATTTTTGATAGGAAAGAGAATAATAGTTTGTGAAAATAGATTGGAATAGCACTGATGGTTTAAATATGGATAACAAAGGAGAGAACACTTTTTAAAAATGTTAAAAACGTGATTAGGGCCTAAAAGAGAAGTTGAGTAGGCAACATGGAGAGAATATCAGGATATTGTTTTTGTAGGATTATTTGAAAGGGTTAGTGGAGCTATCTAAGGAAGGGCCAGTGGCAGTGAATTAAAGAGGCAGACATGGCTGAGTCGCAAGTCTGTAGGTCGCTTCACCACTATGCACCCTCAGGTGCACGTGATGTGGGAAGGCTGTAACATCAGCCAGATTCTTAGTGCTTCGCTTTTTCATAATTTAGCAACCTGAATTTCAGAACTTGAGAGTAGTCACAGGGTGGTTTTCTTTGGATAAAGTGGATGTTGATCATTCCAGGCCCAGAGAGATAGGGGACCCCTATCCGGGAGGAGGAGAAGGAGAAATAAGTTTTTATTTCACTTGGTATCCTTTTTAGGTATTCCTATTTTCACCGCCAAACTTCTGCAGTAACATTTCTACATACTGTGCTCTAAAGGGTCACCGTGTGCTCCCTCCTAAATCCCTGCACCATAACTTCCTTCCCACTCCTGGAACTGCTTTCTGGAAAGTCACCCATGACCAGCTTCACTTTCCTTCCGTCACTACTGAGTACTGCGTTTGACCCTTTTAAGCATCTTTCCTTCTTGTATTGCTTTACCTCCTTTCTTTTCTGGCACTGATCTATCCTACTTCAACTTTCTTCTTTCCTTTGACTTTTTTTTCCCAACTACTTTCTGACTGTGAGCAATAAGAATTTCATGTAACTTTTATTGAGGGTCAACTGTGTACACATATTAAGAGTTTTGTATGCATGGAGCTTATCTCATCTTCATAACAAACCCACAAGGCAGGAACTGGTGAACCTCTTTTGTGAAGCCTGCATGAATTCTACAGCTCATAGCCTACTATTATGGGATACATGCATGCCTACACGCTCCTGAGCCAACCTTACCTCCACAAGGAGGGAAAGCTCTCATTCCTTCCTGTATCTTCCTCTGTGTTCTAAACTCTAGTCCACTTCCATACATTTCTGCTTGACCCTCCGTCGCTTCCTCTGGAATTCTGTCTCCCCAGTTCTGCTTCATGTTTATTTTCTGTATGTGGTTTTGGATTCCTCAGTCTCAATCATTTGACTTGACTTTTCTCTTACTTCCTTTCTATCCCACTATCCTTTCTTTTCATTATAGAAAGTAAAAGCAAAGTCTCCCATTAGCTCTCCAAATCCCACTCTTTCCACAAAAATATGGGAATTCTCCCAGGAAGAAATGGGGGAAAGAAGAAATCTTAACCATATTTTTGGCCTGGAAAGTCTTTTTAACTCTTCCAGTCTGCACCCTGTGTAATCATTGTATCTGGCTCCATCCGGAGGGCAGTTCCTGTTGTGGGACGAGTCATCCTTCCTAGTCTTTTCAGGATTCCAGATTAACGTTGGCCCTGGGAAGTCCCATTCTGTGCATCCTGTCACCAATGCCCTCATAAAATAGTTGAGAACTTTTGTGGTAAGTTCTCTTCCTCACATCAGCCCTCTACATCAAGATCTATTAGCCCTGTCTTTCTACGTCCATTCTTATTTTCTACAACCTGCCTCCTTTGCTGACATGGTGCCCACATATATGCTGTGCCCATTTCGGCTTTATTCTTTCATTCTGCTCCCCCCCTGACCTGTCATCCTTTCTTCTGTGTTCTCATCTCCATCTATTACAAACTTGAAGCACCTAACTCTAACAGCTTGCTTCGAACTGCTCCTTGTCTACACATCTTTTAAGTAGTCTAAAAACCCCATGATTTACCAAGTCTCATATTCTTCTCTGCTTCATATACATGTCTTATCTCCTCTAGCAAATTATAAGATCCTTAAGGACACTGGCAAGTGTCTTGTCATCGTTCTCTGCTTACCACAGCTCCTAGCCCAGTACTGAGCCCATAGCAAGCACTCAGAAAGTATGAATGATTGAATGATTGAATTGTTAACAGGATTTGGTTTTGATCCTTTCCACTTCAGGTATGTGGAGAGCCAACGCCATACCATTCAGGGAGACTACATAGAGACCATGGAAGAAATTGCTGATTTGGTGGGGGTCAGGCCAAATTTGCTGTCTCTGGCTTTCACCGACCCCAGGCTGGCATTACAATTACTTTTGGGACCCTGTACTCCAGTCCATTATCGTCTCCAGGGCCGTGGAAAGTGGGATGGGGCTCGGAAAACCATCCTTACCGTAGAAGATCGGATCAGGAAGCCTCTGATGACGAGAGTCACGGAAAGCAGTAACTCTGTGACCTCGATGATGTCAATGGGCAAGTTTATGCTAGCTATTGCTTTCTTAGCCATAGCTGTGGTTTATTTTTAGCTGTCCCTTTGTCATTGCCTCTGCTTTCATTGGGAAGCTTAACTTAGAGAGAGATACCTTCAGAATTTTACAAGATCAAATGACCCTCCTCTTTCAAATTGCCCCATTTCTCTTTCAAAAGCATTAATTCTCTCTTCATTTTCCTACAATGAGATCCAAGCTTTTCATTTGCACTAATCATCTCCTCACCTCTCATGAGCCTTCACTTTCTCTCTCCAGAGCAGCTCGGGTACTCTTAGTCATCTTTGTATGTCCCTAGAAGAGTAGTTGACATTTGGCAGGTGTTTAACCAATGTTTGGTGTTGTGGCTCAAAGTCTGTTTTTGTATGGGAAATGACTGACTGTATAACTCTGCTTGGGATGGAATTTGGTTTTCCATTATTTTTGTCTTTAACATTATAACAAATGTATGTTTCCTGAGAAATAAGATTAATAATGACCTTCGTAATTGTAGACAAATAAATACTTAAGTTACTTTGTTCTACATGCCATTTACTAGTGTGCCTGATGCAGGTCATTTTTACTCCTTTGCCCAAAGCAACATGTCTATATCTCAGTAAGGAAACTACCTTCAACTTTCTAGGTTCACAAGCCATTCTATTAATGCAGCATCTGCCAATGGTTTGAACTTGGTTGAGAAATTTGAGATTTGTTTTAAGTAGCTGTCTGTCTTTTCTGATCTCTTAGTTCCCATATGAGGACCTAACAAGACTTTATCTTGGGACACACGAGAAGTAGCTGCTGTTGTAGCATGGTCTACAAATGTGATTTTATTTGTCTCCCCCAGCTCCAACTTCCTCCCCTCCTTCCCCATAGCATCCAGGTAACAAGCATCAGACGAGGTCACTCATGCGTGGAATCAGATTTGCTATTAACTGAACGTGGAAGTGGTGTGCTTAGGCCAGCCCGTGCAGTTCTGAGAAACAGAGCGAATGAAGCGGAGAGGAGGGACTTGGCTTTACCTTCCTGCACTGCTGCTGACTGTGGCTTCTCATCTGCAGAGGATCTGTTCCGTTCTTGCTTCAGGGAGATGATCATTAAATGTCAGCTCTCGGGCACACTGAGGTCCACGAGGAACAGGACTAGAGAACCAGGCAGGTGTTTATCCACAAATAGCTGCTGGGCAATATAGTCCTAAGTGTTTGGATTGCTGCCTGTCACCTAACAACAGGATACATTTTAGTAACTGAAAGAACAACATTAGAAATTATCATCTTTCCTAATACAAATACATGTAATACAGGAATATGACAACTTCTTCCTAATGTCCTAACTATCTGGACAGTTGCCTGCCACTTCCCCTATTTTACCTTGCCAATGCCACTTGATAATGAGAAAAGTGAGAGCTGCTATCACCTCTTAGGCCTTCATCCTTCCTCATCTCTGTGATACTGGATATCTATAATCTAATGAAATAGATCTAGCGTTTTTTTTTTTTAAATCTACAGATTGCTCTAACTCAAAAGTAAACAGAAGGTCTCTTCTTTTTTAATTTCCTTCTTTTAACACATAAATTTGACACTCTTTAAGCATGTAGATAAATTCAGTGACACTCTCATTCCACTTACAATATGTAAGGTTACAAGAAAATTCCTGTAGGATGTGAATAGGAAATTGAATTCAAATCAACTCAAGATACTGAGGCCTAGTTACTGAGGAAGGAGTACTAATCTATACAAATGAATGTGTACTAATACTTATTGACATTCCTGTTCCTGTGCTTATGTTAAAAGGCTTTATCATTTTCCCAATTATATCTTGTAAACTGACTACTATATATATATATATATATTCTTGTAGTGCCAAAGTGTAAGGATTACTCAAAAAGCAAACTCAATGGCTTATGTCAAAGGGGCACAAGAGCCATCTGAATGTGGTCCCACCTGTCAAAGCTGGAATAATTTGAGCCATAAAATAACCTAGTATTAAAAAAACTGATACATGCATTATGTAAGTCTAAGAAAAGAGAATGAAATTTAAACAACGATGGAGAGTGAGCATTTGGAGTAGTGATTAAGATTCTGCTTAGCATGCTCACATCCTGGATCAGAGTGCCAGGGTTCAGGTCCAAGCCTACTCTTGATTTCAGCTTCTTTTTTTTATTTTTTATTTTTATTTTTGACAGGCAGAGTTAGACAGAGAGAGAGAGAGAGACAGAGAAAAAGGTCTTCATTTTCCATTGGTTCACCCTCCAATGGCCGCTACAGCCAGCTCACTGCGCCGATCTGAAGCCAGGAGCCAGGTGCTTCCTCCTGGTCTCCCATGCAGGTGCAGGGCCCAAGGACCTTGGCCATCCTCCACTGCACTCCCGGGCCACAGCAGAGAGCTGGACTGGAAGAGGAGCAACTGGTGCCCCAACCAGGATTAGAACCCGGGGTGCCGGCGCCGCAGGTGGAGGATTAGCCTAGTAAGCCAAGGCGCCGGCCTGATTTCAGCTTCTTAATGCGTACCCCGGGAGGTAGCAGGCGATAGTTCAATATTGAGATCTATGCGGGAGCTCACATTAAGTTCTTGTCTCCTGGCTTTGGTCTGGCACAGTTCCAGAAGTTGCAAATATTTGCGGGTGAACAAGCAGATGGGAGATCTCTGTCTCTGCTTCTCAAATAAACTTAAAATAAACTTTTTTTTTTTTAAAAGAGGGGAATTTCCCAAATCTGAGGATGTAAGTATTCCTATATATGAAGCCAAAAAGCTTCAAATAAGTTGAATTTAAATAGATATTCTGAGTTCCAATTAGAAAAGATCAGAAGTAAAAGACAAAGAGAGAATTTTCAAAGTAGCAAGAGTAAGTATCTCATCATAAGAGAACTCCTAATAAGAACAACAGCATTTCTCAGAAGACACAGTAGGCCAGAGGCGAGTGTTCAGTGAAAATAAGCCCTACAAGCTAAGAATACTATACCTGACAGAGGTGTCCTTCAGCGGTTTTTTTTTTTAACTTTTATTTAATGAATATAAATTTCCAAAGTACAACTTATGGATTACAATGGCTTCCCCCCACATAACTTCCCTTCCACCCGCAACCCTCCCCAGCGTTTTTCATACATTGCAGCATTACTGACAATAGCAAATATAGAAACAACCTATATGTCTATTGATGGATGAATGGATTAAGAAAATGTGGTATATAAATACAACTGAATAGTTCTCAGCATTATAAGAGTAGGAAATCCAACAGTTTGCATAAATCTGGATGCATCTGGAGTTCATTATGCTATATATGAAATAAGCCAGGCTCAGAAAGAGAGTATGATTGTACTCACGTGAATCATCTGAAACACTCAAACAAATATAAGGAGAGAATATAACGGAGGTTGTCAGGGTTTGTGGGAAGGGAAATTTGTGATATTTTCAGTTATGCAAGATGAGTAAGTTGTAGAGATATGCTCCACTGTGTAGTGCCTTTGTTAACAAGTTATCTTGCACTTCAATTCTTGGTAAGAGGCTTTCTATCATGTTATGTGTACTTACCATAAAATCAGAAATGTGAAAAAAATTTGGAGGTGATGGTTATGTTTATTACTTTATTTTGGTGATACTTGTGCAAGTATATACACATTTCTCAACTCATCAAATTTATATATTAAACATCTGTAGTTATTTTTGTATATCCAAAATATTTCGATAAAACTGTTTTAAAAAGAAAAAATTAACATAAAATATTTAAAAACTCCTGAGTCCATATGATATAAATGATTGAATAAATAAATGACTGGGCTGAAATAGACTCATCTCCCATACAGAAGAATTCCAAGTAATTTATGTAATAACTTTGCAACAGAGACACTCTCATAAACGCCCCCTCAGTTGAGTGATCAAGATTAACAAGAACAGTGTGATAAATCTTGTTGGTAGGATGGACCCTTGGAATGATGTGATGAAAAAATATAACCCCAGTGTAACCCTGAGAAAAACTTCAGATAAACCCAGGTTGAGGAATATTCTACAAAGTATTTGACCATCTCAACTGTCAAGGTCATCAAAACAAGCAAAGTCTGAGAAATTGTAACAGTATAGAGGAGCCTAAGGAGACATGACATCTAAGTGTAATGTGGTATCATGGATGGCATACTGAACAGAAAGGAAAATTAAGTAAAAATTGAGGGAATATTAATAATGGGTGTGTTTGGTTAATAATAACATATCAATATTGGTTTATAGGTGTGACAAGAGTACTATAATAATGTAAGGGAATAATGATAAGGGAAATGGGGTGTGGGGTATATGGAAACTCTGTCTTTGTAACTTTGCTTAAATCTATTTCAAAATAAAAATTATTTTTCAAAAGAATGTGTTCTTTTGGTTCAGAAGAGCTATAGTCTAGGGTAATTTTCTCAGAATACTGGCCAGTACCATTCATTTGAATTACCATGTTTCTTCTTGAGTACTCTACAAATTAAGTTGTTCTTAAAAAAAAAAGAATAATCTAATTTACTACAGCAATTTTATTTCCTTAGATAAACAATTTTATTTCCCTAGATATTTCCTTAGATAAACAAGTACAGACTATAATTTTAGAAGGGTAAAATGGTAACACAAGGTCAAAGGACACAACTTCTTAAAATCATTTAGGTAAGTTCTCCCTTGTAGAGACCCATTGAACCAGCAGTTGCCACTTAGAAAACTTACGATACATTAATGGCAAGCACATTCATAAGTAACGTAATTTTACTTAATACCAGGTCTGTGTGCCCTGTTACTTTTGCTATTACTAAAGTAATATAATATAAAAGTGCTTCCCACTGCTTACTTGGAATTTCCCCAAGTGCCGTGTTGTCTGTGCTACTGTACATATTCTCACTGTACTCTCCTCTGGGTAGATCCTCCACTTGCCCAGCTGGCTAACCCCCGTATCAAGACTCAGTTCAACTATTATCTCTTCCAGGAATACCCTCCTGATCCCTAATATAAAATAGGTGAACTTCCTTTGGGCTTTCATTACAGGTGGTATAATCTCAATTATAGTTTATGGGCAGCCTTTTACACTATGAATAAAAATTGGCTCCCTCATCTGTTTCTTCCTTGCACTTGTAAAACTCTGGGAGGAAGATACTTTATAATTAATCTCTGTATTCCTAATACCTAATATACAGCCTGTAACATAGTAAGACCTCAGTAAATTAATGATTAATTGAATGAATAAATTCAACATGGGAGTAGAGAAATGAGTTTTTAGTGATTAAACAGTGAATAATAATTTTATGAAAAGTGATTAAGGAGATTATGGGCTGCTTAACATTTTGAAATGGCTTAGGGACAAGCATGTTCTTCCAAAAAATTCTCTCGACTAGACCACTAATCTGAGTCTGCATATTTTTTCTATTGTGCTGTGGTTTGAAACACAAGTGATAGATCATGTTTTTATTTATTTTTATTTATTTATTTTTTTTTTGCACAAAGGACTTAGTAAGTCATGATTTTTTTTTTTATTTTTAAAGATTTACTTATTGGAAAGTCAGAATTACGGAGAGGTAGAGGCAGAGAGAGAAGGTCTTCTATCTGCTGGTTCACTCCCAAAATAGCCACAACAGCCAGAGCTGCGCCAGGCCAAAGCCAGGAGCCAGGATCTTCATCCAGGTCTCCCATGTTGGTGCAGGGACCCAGGGACTTGGGCCATCCTCCGCTGCTTCCTCAGGTGTATTAGTAGGGAGCTGGATTGGAAGTGAGACAGCCGGGATGCAAACCAGTGCCCATATGGGATGCGACACGGCTTCACCTGCTCAGCCACAGCACTGGCTGGATCTTAACACAAGAAAGGAGGTGGGGTACATGTTCTCTTTGATCTTCAGGCAGCTTAATCCTCTTGCTGTTTCTCCTGGCTTTCTCGAACTCCTCAGCTCCTTTGAAGCACTCACTGCCTGTTTATAGACCTGTTTATTGCCCTCCTTTGGTGAAGATTTGAGCACAAAACTCTCTCCAAATGCATAACTACTGCTGCCTTTGATTTTAATACCTATGTAGGTCATACTCTCACCCATCCAATTGATTACGAGTAGGTTCTGCTACCGTCTCAGCTCATTTTCTGTTGCAATAACAAAATATCTGAGACTAGGCCGGCACCACGGCTGACTTGGCTAATCCTCCACCTGCGGCACCGGCACCCCGGGTTCTAGTCCTGGTTGGGGCACCGGATTCTGTCCCAGTTGCTCCTCTTCCAGTCCAGCTCTCTGCTGTGGCCCGGGAAGGCAGTGGAAGATGGCCCAGGTCCTTGGGCCCTGCACCTGCGTGGGAGATCAGGAGAAGCACCTGACTCCTGGCTTCAGATCAGCACAGCACGCCAGCTGTAGCGGCCATTTGGGGGGGTGAACCAACAGAAAGGAAGACCTTTCTCTCTCTCTCTCTCTCTCACTGTCTAACTCTGCCTGTCACAAAAAAAATCTGAGACTGGGTAATTTGTAAAGGAAAGAAGTTGATCTTAGGTCACGGTTCTGGAGGCTGGAAAGTCAAAGAGCATGGTAGTAGCATCTGCTTGGCTTCTGGGGAGGGCCTTGTGCTGCTTCAACTATGGTGGAAGGTGGAAGGGAAAGTGGGCTTGCACAGACCAGCCGGAAGATGTCGGGGGCACTGCTTCAGAAGAAACCACTCTCACGGCTAATCCGGTCCTTCGGGAGGCAAAATGCACTCCCTTCTCTGGGCTGGCAGCAGTCCATGTATGAGGGTGGAAACCGTGACCCGAACACCTCTCACCAGACACTCCATCTCCCAACACTGCTACGTTGGGGCCAACACATGAATTCTGAGGCCACACACTCAAACCACAGCAGCCACATACAATAGAAAAACCCCAAATAACAATGGCCTACACAGTATTGAAGTTTACTTCCCCGTCATCTAAAGACGTCTGAAGGTAGATAGTCCTGAGACAATAAAACAATTCCACAGCTCTTCTTTCTGCTCCACTACCCTCACCATTTGACTTCCACCTTGTGGTCCAGACTGGGTGCTAGAGTTCCAGCCATTACATGAACATTCTACACAAAAGGAAAAAGAACTATAAGAAGAAGAACATGCCTTTTTCTTTTAAGGAAACTTAACAGAAGTACAATATAATATTTCCACTTAGATCTCATTGGAAGAACATAGTCAATATATCTACCTACCAGAGAAGCTAAGAAATGCATCTTTTTTTTTCCCAAGAAGCAATGGGTCTAGGTAAAAATCAAAGTACTATTATTAAGGAGGAAGAGAGGATGAATATTAAAGTAGAACTCCAGCATTCTTTGCCAATGGCTTTTCTTTTTATTTTTTAAGTTTTTTTATTTATTTTATTTGAGAGGTAGAGTTACAGACAGTAAGAGGGGGAGACAGAGAGAGAGGTCTTCTTTTTGTTGGCTCACTCCCCAAAAGTCCACAACAGCTGGAGCTGTGCCGATCCGGAGCCAGGAGCCAGGAGCCTCCTCCCAGTCTCCTATGTGGGTGCAGGGGCCCAAGGACCCAGGGCATCCTCTACTGCTTTCCCAGGCCACAGCAGAGAGCTGGGTTGGAAGAGGAGCAGCCAGGGCTAGAACCAGCACCCATATGGGATGCCGGCGCCACAGGCTGAGGTTTAGCCTACTGAGCCAGGGCGCTGGCCCCTCCAATGGCTTTTCGACTTGGTTTGGATATGATTTGTCCTTGCCAAAATTCACG